CGTCCATTTTGAGGACTTTGATGAAGAATTCAAGCTTTTACTCACTCAAATGATCTGGTTGAAGAACTATTGACACAGAATTCTTCGGTTTTTGTTGCTCTATTTATTTAGGGTGGTTATCTATATAGTACTATAGAAGTAGATGACAAATAAATGGTCCGAAAATAATTTAAGAAATTACTTGAAATAAAAAGCACGCAATTGCCAAATGTCAATTATATTCCAACTTTTCTTTATTCGTGGGTCTTAAAATAATGTTTTCTTTCTCTAATTTGTAAAGAATTAGTGTTCGGGATAATTTGAGTTTTTACATAATTTTATTGTTGAAATTAGACTTTGCATCCCGTTTTTGAAATCTTTACTATTTGCACCACAACCCCGTATAAAAAGACAAAAATGTCTCTCGGTCAGGAATATGTTGAAGGCCACCAAAAATTGTTAATGGAGGGGCATTTTAATCTTTTCATATGGGTTTGGGGCGAAAATACTAAAGATTTCAAAAACAGGGTGCAAAGTCTAATTTAGACAATAAAATGGGGTGTAAACTCAAAATAGTCTTTGTGTTTCACGAAGACTCTCATTTGATCTCTACACAATTTTCATTTTCCTAATTCACATGTAAAAGTGCAAATTCCCATTTGAAAAAGTAATCAAGGGATGAGTATTTATTTTATTCTACTAAAAGTATAAAAAAATCTAATTTAAAAGTGTAATTATCTCTAATACTTTTCTGATCTCGTGTATAAGGAAGTCATAAATTTTGGAAATTGTACACTTTAAACCTCTCAAACTTAATTAACGCATTCTTTCTCGCCCTAAATTACCTAGCCAGGCCACTTGTTAGACAGTACCCACGATTACACTTACACGAACATCATATCATACATCGCAATGAGGTCACTCTCAAATACTCCCTCCGTCCCGCTATGATTGTCCCATTTTACCATTTCACTTCATCCCACTAGGATTGTCTCATACCTTATTTGGTAAAGTTTGTGTGGTTCTAAATCATTCTTACTTTATTCTTACTTTATCAATTTAATATCAAACTTAGGGGGACGGAGGTAGTATAAGTTTACAACTTGTGCAGAGCTCTTACAAGATTGCTCAGGATCTTTACCCGTACAACAGAGTGCCTTGTAATATCGGACGTCGGCACGTATAGCGACAAGGACGGTCTTGAGATCGGTGAAGGAGTGGATTCCAAGATCTTTCACCCTTGAATTTTAGACAGAATCCCACAAGATTTGTTCATTTCGTATTCGATTATCCTAGTTTCTTCTTTATTTTTCATTATGTCTCCAATTTTCGTCTTTTTCATTTAAGACTAGATTTTCACCCGTGCGATGCACGGGACATATATTAAGTAATGATTCTAACATATTATTTGTTAACCTTATTAGTTAATGTCTAAGTTAATGCAAAAGAGTATAGATGTATTATACAAAAATAATTATAATTAAGCAAAAGATACTAATAACTTGTAATTGGTGAGAATTATATTTTGGAATAAATAGGAAAACTAAATACTATATTAAGACTTTTGTAGATTATACATTTCACAACACTTCCGTGTAAACATCATTGGTAGAAATGATCTATTTGTTCTCCATTTTCATTGCAAATAAATATTTTCAAGCTCTTATGATTTTCAATAATGTTGATAACGCGTAAACACTGACTTTTTTAATGAGGGTCCAATACGCGATAAAGATTGATCTTCATTCTTAGTCATGTTCCCCATAAGAGGTCATGACGGGAAATTGTCTTCTTTGAATCTTAAATGATATTATTCAATCCGGTGGAGTTAAGCTTAACCTTTGAACGTTCATACCGAACATATTTTCCACTTATAATTTTTATTGCTCCAATGATATCATTTCATAGTCGTGTAATAATCAACCTTGTTCTATTGAATAACCCCACATATAGAAGGATCAATATTTCTTAAAAGTGTTTTGAAGTGCCAACTTTAACCATCAATCCATGGTTCGGAAATCCTGATGCACGTATATTATTGAGATAGCATGGAGTGCAAATTAACCAAAAAAACATATCATTTAAGTTTGATTTGCAGATGTTATTCAGACTTAAATATGTTCTCAACTCTTCCATAGAAAATGTTGTCTCTAAAAGACTAAAAGTTTATATTCATTCTTTTTCATTTTCAATACTCTAATTTATCACTCGTCACTATCCTTACTCATCTCTCTTTACTCTTTTCTGTTATTTTTTGTTTTCTTCATTGGTTGATCCTGGATTTAACATATAAATAATGTTTCCGAATAAATATGCAAGCCCATTTGGTGAATCAATTTTTTCAATGTATCGGTCTTATTAGTCACTTTTTTCACCCAAAACATAACTTTTGATTTCGTTCACTATGTCGTGTAATACTGTAATTATTAAAATAAGGAAAAATTGATAGTAATAATCCCAACTATTGGCGGTCCGCTTATAATAATCCCAACTATTGATTATTTCAGAATAATCCCAACTTTAGGGACCATCCGCCAATAATGGTCCATGATCATATTTAACTCCTATAAAAAGTGAATTTTAAATAGAAATTAAGTGTAAAAATTAAAAGGTGGGATTATTTATAGGCATTACTTGCTATATCTCTTCTCATGCACTTTAGAAACTACAAGAATTTATTCTTAGGGACCATTATTGGCGGAAGGTCCCTAAAGTTGGGATTATTCTGAAATAATCAATAGTTGGGATTATTATAAGCGGACCGCCAATAATTGGGATTATTACTATCAATTTTTCCTTAAAATAATTAAGGCTTGCGTTATTCTTTCAGATGCATTGGCTAAATTGATATATAAAGAGGATCACTTTAACTATTTTTCATTTTTTTCTTATACCTCATTAATAAAATATATTTTAAATACATTATTTTTCATAATTCAGCCAAATCAGCAAGCACACTCACTTTAGCTAAAACTTTATAAAATTCAATAAAATCAGCTGATTCATAATACAACAAAATCACCTCCGTCCTGCTAAGATTGTGTGATTTTACCTTTTTGGACTGTCCCACTAAGATTGTCTCATAACAAAATCAGTAAAATTTGTGTGGTTCTTAATCATTCTTAATTTATTCTTACTTTATCAATTTAATATCAACCACATACACTCTTTTTTATTAATTTGCATGTCACTCACTCTTGTCCCATTGTTAGTGAGACGAAGAGAGTATTATAATATCAACGACCTAACCCCACTTTTCTTAAGAATCTCACCACATTAGTAGTAATTACTCTTTCATTCATTTTTTGAGTGAAAGCAAATACTCCTTCCGTCCTAAAAAGGTTGGCCAAAGTTGATTTTCACGTGGATTTATAAAGTAAAAACTGTGTGGTTGAAATTTGTGCAGAGGAGAGAAAATTAACTTTAGTCACATATTTCTTACTTTAAATGGAAATGACAAATCTTTTTGGAACATCCAAAAAATGAAATTTGGCCAACCTTTTCAGAACAGATGGAGTATCTTTAACATTAAAAAATACTACTTCGTATATTTTCAGATTTTAAATCAATGCCCATCCTTAATTGTTCTACTAATTATTACTCCTCACATTTTTTACCAACTAAATAGTTCTCCGTACTTTTTAACTTTTAACTTTTCACAAAAAATGAACTGGAGTGAATTGCAATGAGTGTTTTTCGTATATGAATATGTCATTTATGCTGTATTAATAATGTTAAAATGTTGATGTTCTCCCAATACCCCGAGCTAATAATCTAATCCCACAAAATTTTAAATGATGCAATATAGAAGAAATCTCTTCTTGAGTTTTCTACAAAAAACGGTGGGAATTTTCTTCCCCGAATATGTCTATTACTCCCTCCATCCCAGGGAAAAGTTCCCGGGTTGACTTTCACACATATTAAGGAAATAAAGTTACTGAGGGGTAAATTTTACTGTTTGGCACTCGACACTGTTTGGCACTGTTTTGCAATGTTTGTTACTGTTTTGATGTAGGATAACTTTCCATTTAGGGAAATGGGAACTTTTTGTTGAAACTGCCAAAAAAGGAAAGTGAGAACTTGTCCCTAGGACGGAGGTAGTATATTGCAATTCATAAATACTATGTACAAAATACACTTATAATAATCAAATTAATAAGGAAAATATATCCATTATTTCTACTTCAATTAATGAAGTAAACATTCACCTTGTGTACACTAAAATTGTTAGGATCCACATCTTAGCCTAGAGTTTGAAGGATCCACATCTTTTCTGATCTAATTTAAAAATTAACTACCAAAGAATACAAAAAATACAATAGATTAGGTCTCCGACTCTCAATTAAAAAATATTGTATTCTTCATGTATAAAGCCAATTATGCTTTCTTTTATAGGTGCACTACTGCACTTTAAACTATGAACTCCATGCTTCTTTATTTATTTAATACCTAGTTAATTATGATGTACATTTAAAATGGATATTACGGCATGCTTATAATCCCTGGTTATATACTATGTATGAAAAACTAACCAAGGTCCGGATATGTATGGCCTCATACCCATCGTCCTCAAATAATATACTCATGGTTTTTATTTGTTAAATATTAAAAATATTTTTTTATTGACAACTGATTTCATCTTATGATGTACTGGTTCGCATGATATTCATGGTTTTACCTAAATCCAATTTTAATTATGGCCTAATGTACTGTGTTTTATAACTTACTCCGTACATAATTCTTATTACGTAGTACTTCTTCCGTTTTATAATTCTTGCAACATTGTGATTTTTACACTATTCACAGATCTTATTTTGACCATGATTTTCTACTAATATACATAATCAAATTATTACGTATAAAATGTTATTGAACTCTTATCAATGTGAATTTCTAAAATATCAACTTTTTATAACGTTTACTAATACATAATTAAATATAATTACAGTCAAAGTTGTGCATTGACAACCGTGAAAATCAAACTGTTGCAAGAATTATAGGACGGAGGATAGTATTAATCTTCATTCTTTAAGGCAGCAAAAGGTTAATTCCTGCATTATAGCATACATTCGTGTGTTTAATTTTTAAGACAACTGAAGCCGCCACCTCCATCTCTGTGTCAACGGCGGACACCTCCATGGCGCAGACCTCTTCAGTTGCTGCCACGTCTGGAATCTCATCATCAGAGACGATCCCCAGCTTCACCTCCGGCGCTGTATCTACTGTCACCGAGCACATTAGTCGATCATTAAAACTCCTTCCTGAAATAAAACCACAAAATAATGTGATGAAATGTTTTATTTGTATAAACAAAGTTTTCAGTAAACAAAGTCTTCAATACACAAAGTACTCTTACTGGATATAAATAAACACTGATACCTCCTCGTTGCTGAAGGGCACTTCCATCCTCTCTTCCCTTTATGATGGCTTTAGTATTAATTGCTCCAACAATCGCCCTCTTTTCGTAAAAACCCAACTCTTCCCGTTGCATAGTCTGCTTTATGTTTTGGTCCGTCTTTTGCTCTGATCTCCTAAATCATTTACTTGTATATTTATAGTGGGTTTACCATGCGTTTGTGCATTGCAGGAACTTTGTTGCATCCATTGAACAATATCCTGTAACACCGTACATTAAATGTGTGATTGGATAAGACAATATATTAGCAGTAAAGTATTTAGAATCTCGAGAACATTAAATGCCGAATTCAACATCCATTGTAAATTATCAACTTGAGCACGTTTAAGTAGATGTTGGCTACAAAATTTGGTACGTTTCACATTTATATTGTTGACGTAAAGATTTGACGAATCAGAATCAACCAGTTTGATGTGATGTCTCGAAGTCTCGAACAGAGTAAATAGCAATCACAAATCTGACATTTACAGCAATTGTACGTCCTACTCAATACCCGTACCATTTTACCCGACCCATATTCTTGCCCGTGACTTTAGGCGGGAATTTTGACTCCTTTTCCACCTCTTTTTATATAGAGGTAGATATTAAAAATTCAATTAAAATTGATTTACAATGAAGGTTTTAATCAATATTGTTTCTATTTCTCATTACATTGTAGTCTGGAGTTAGATATAATATTACGAAGTACAAATTTCTTTCAATATCGTTTCTATTTCTCATCACGCTTTTGGTATCTATCTTTAAAAATACCCATATTTAACCCTTCAACTTATATAAAAGTGTCACTTTTGGTCTTTCAACTATTCTAATAGCTTAGTGACATTTTTAGTCCTTCACTTAGTGTGTCAAATCATTGTGAAAAGACTAAAAGTGTCAATTTGATACTACCTTCGTCCCACTATGTTTGGGACAAAGAGGTGTGACACAACTTTTAAGAAAAGGTGGAATTGTTACGGAGAGCTTTATAAGTTATGATTTATTGGTTATAAGTTCATATATTTACTCTATAAGTTTACTGCGTTGTAAGATCAGATGCAAATACAAGGGCTGAGATTACTTCTCACTTCTCATTTTAAGGAGCACTTCTCACATGATCTTTTCCATATATATATATATAGAATTTGGTTCAAATAAAAAGTACTTCATAGGTGAAAAATAATAACTAATCTTGGCCGTTGATGTGAAAAAATGGATGGATGAGATCAATTTTTAAGTGGGAAACGCGGTGGCATTTGTGTAATTATGGAGAACTTTTTTTGAAAATATTGTGATAAATGTGTATCAGAATAGTCAAAAAGTGCACACGTAGAACACAAAAGTGCAATACGATATCAAATAAAAAGTGCACAAGTTTGAAAATTTTGACAATATTTTTTGACACGCGTGAGTGCACTTTTGGTTAGTAGCTATCCACTTTATAGTATAAACATTTGCACATTTTTTGAAACCGTCTCTTGTGTTTAAAGTTCATCTAATCCATCCATTTTCAAGTGATCAAAGGCCAAGATTTATTCTCACTTTTCATGGGAAGACTACTTTTTACTTGAACCCACCCCTATATATATATATATATATATATATATATATATATATATATATATATATATATATATATATATATATATATATATATATATATATATGGGATCATATACACATTGATGCTAATTTACAAAGTGCAAACTAATCTTGACTATGCATCTATATCTATATCTATATCTATATATTATACAATTGGAGGTCACATTGACATGTGTCATTCTATTATGTATCATTGCCATGTGTCATTACATAATTGCCGTTTCATTCTTTCATAAGTAGTAATTATTAGTATTCATCTATTTGGAAAGTTAGGTCTTACTTTTCATAAATAGATTATTATAATAATCACTCCCTATTCATGTTCATATATGCATTTTCTTTATGTTCATATATGCATTTGGTAAGTTGATCAACTCATGCACTACATACTTACATAGGTTCCGGTCCGTTTTAATATACGTAGTATATACAATCTATATATTATAATATAATTATTAAATATATAAGTAACTATGTTTAATATATTATAAATTAAATCATAAATTTATAATTATTATTCATGAAAACTTCGGTAAATTACATATACGTTGTACCATTGACCCCCAATAACTTAATTTAATATATCTATTTAATACTCCATATGTTTTTAATTTTTATATTTTATATTTTTTTACATTTTCACTTTATTTTTTAGTTTTCTGATTTCTTATTTTTTTATTTTAATTTCTTGAATTATTTACCTATTTTTACATTTGTACTACTTTATATTATTATTACATTATGTTTCAAATTGGTATGAACTTTTATAAGATTTCTGAATACTCTATCTTAATTTCTTTATTTTTTAAAATAATCTGAGGTGAATGACAAATATCATATATGGATATCATATCTAAGTATTACGGAGTAGAAGATAAGCTTGCTAACAATTGAATTGGATAATTTTCTCTCTCATATGTAGTGATCCTAGGTATAAGATAATCCGGTTAACAATTGAACGAGACAGTTTTCTTTATCGCATGTAGTGGTTTTAGGTATAATGAGATACGTAGTAAGAAAATAAGCTTTCTAATACATGAGTGACAAAACTTTTTCTCATGCGTAGTTCTTTTAAGTATATGATGACGATGATGATACTTCGGCTAACAATTTAACAGAAAAACTTTCTTTCTCATATGTAGTTATAAGATAAACTGGCTAACAATTGAGTATGTCAATTTTCTCTCTCATAGGTTAGCTGTAATTTAACTAACGAGTACCAAGTTTTTATTTAACTAATATTCGTTAATTTTAATATTTATTATTGTATTCAACATAACTTTATGTCATTCACTTATTGAACTCACTTTATTAGAATAATATTTAATTTTAAAATTGAGTCTTCAGAATCAACCAATCCAACCAATTTCAGTGTTACCAAACAGGCTCTAAGAGTCTTCATTTTTCTAGCTGCCTAATTTGTAGGCCCAGCTCCGCACCTAAGTCTAAAAGTCTGTTTGATGATCCTATTTTTCATCTTATCAACCTTATACATCAAATTTTTCACCAAACACATAACTTTTGATTTCACGCGCTGATTTGTGTAATAATCAAACTAAGAAGTCTGAAGTTACTTTTCTGTCTCAATTGCTTAAAGTTGTTGTAGATAATCATTTTACCTATTTTTTATTTATTTTGTTAATAAATTATTTTTTTAATGTGTTTTAATAATTTAGCAGAATCAGTCAATCCAGCCATTTCAAACAGAACTTGATAAGTTTAATCAAAATCAGTCCATTCAGCCAATTTTAGTGTTACCAAACAAACTGTAAGAATCTGTCTTTTTATCGCATGTAGTGGTTTTAGGTATAATAATGAGATAAGAAAATAAGCTTTCTAATACATGAGTGACAAAACTTTCTCTCATGCGTAGATCTTTTCAGTATATGATGACGATGATGATACTTCGGCTAACAATTGAATAGAAAAACTTTCTTTCTCATATGTAGTTATAAGATAAACTGACTAACAATTGAGTATGACAATTTTCACCCCTACTGAGATTGTAGATACGTTACCAAGGATTCAAGGAACAAAATTTCCGATTCTCATTTCTCTTTTTCGTGTAATTAACTTACCCTCTTCAGTTTATTTATACTCTACGCTCTAATCTGTTTGTGTTATGTATGATTTTCATTTTACATTGATTTCCATATTAATTACCCTAAAAGATAATTCCCATTAAAATACATTCATTTATATATATATATATATATATATATATATATATATATATATATATATATATAGATAATTTACCCAAAATAGGACTAAAAACATTAGAAAATTCCAAAATAGGACTGTCATGTTTTTTATTCCCAAAATAGGAGTGATTACTGCCATGTTTTGACAGTACCAGACTTTAAACATGACAGTATTTTCCAAACATGGCAGTAATCACTCCTATTTTGGGAATAAAAACATGACAGTCCTATTTTGGAATTTACAAACGTTTTTGGTCCCATTTCGGGAACTTTCCCATATATATATATATATATATATATATATATATATATATATATATATATATATATATATATATTGGTATTTGAATTTCCGCGTATTAGTCTGCATTAATATGTTAGCAATTAACAATCAGAATAGTGTGTGTGATTAAGTAGCTCCTAAATCTTCACTGACATAGTCTTGTGAGCTATATAAATCCTCAAACCCACATGGCCACATAGCATATATGTTAGCCATTTTTGTTTGTATATATGTTTGTTTCATATATAGCTACTGATAGAAACTTAACACGCATACCACTTATGAAAATGTTTTGATAATTGTTTCCCTTAACTGTTTTCATTCTTTTCCCTTCCTATTATAAGAGACATGTTTAAACACATTACTAAAATTACTTAAGATATTTAACCAGGGTCCATTTTAGGAGTTTACTGTTGTTTCATTTGAGTGCACAAATCCCCAATGTTTTGCTGCATCCATTACGCTCATATAACTCCCATGTCTTTAACCACATATGGTGTGTAGATTTTCTGATAACTACCATTAGCTAAATTCTTGAATGTTCGATCTTAGCCTCTCTAACTTTTTTACACTTTCCATGAAAAATATATGCTACACTATATTATGGCCTATATTTAAGATCATTTACATTGTAGTGATTTTAACTTACTTTTTGTTATTTTGTGCTTTTCAAAATGCTAATGTTATTCTGCTGACTTTGGAATTTTGCAAGATTTAAATTGAAAATATTTTGAAATCCTAAAAGAATTGAGATTCAACTTTAAAGTCAGAGTAAAGATTGGAGGCTTAGGTAGGTGCTGCTTATTGGAGTTCGTTTGTGTTTTGGGAGGTGATGATAAAGATATTCTTTTTCGGATAATAACAACCCAAAAGGGGAATAATGTTTTTAAATTTCTTGATTCAGGACATATCTCTCATGTTATTGGCTTCTTCTCAACATGCTTTTAACTACTTAGTTTGTACATAAATTTTATTTAATGGTATTGCACAAAAAGTTACACTTTTTTTATCGTCAAAAAGTTACACTTTAAATGCTCTAAAACTGCCTTCCACTAAAACTAATTCCTTAAAATTGCAGAAAGAAAAATAAAATAAGGCAACCTTGATTATCTTCACCTCGCTTTCAAGCCTA